CCTGACAGGAGTCTCTCTTGGTTTGGTGATCATTTTTCTTCCCGTACTCATATTGTCCAATCCGGAAAGTGGAAACCTACTGTCCATCTCAATAACTGTGGAGCTCTTCAGGGCTGCATGTTATCCCTTTACCTCTTCTCCCTCCACACTGATGACTTGAGATCGTCAAATGACTGTCGGATTGCTAAGTATGCGGTCGATGGGGTTTTTGGTCATCCTCTTAAAAATCAGACACATCTCCGGTTTCTAGAGGCTGGCCTGGATCACGTCTCTGCGTGCTACAGTTCGACCGTCGTTGTCAACGATGTGCATCGTGTACTCCACAGCATCATGAAGCAGGGACGGAGATATGTGCGTGAATTAGTTTAAAGTGAATGTAGACCTGCACAGCATCTACCGTACTCGCTCCTCCTTCCCCACCTGGAACCGGTGTCAAAAGAGAGTCAAGACACCGGTCCTTCTCAATGACTGTGAACTTCTCCAAGCTTCCATTATATCCAACCACCTCTTTTCTCTCCACGCTGATGACCTGGGATCACCAAACGAGTCTCTGTTTGTTACGTATTCGGACGATGTGGTTGTTGGTCACGCTCTCAAAGGTCAGACTCGTCTCCAGTCTTTGAAGGATGGCTTTTATCTTGTTGCAGTATGTTCATTGGAAAATGGCCTCCTCCTGAATAATCAAAATTCAGTCCAGTGTGTTTTCCGACTGCGGTCGTTTCCTAGTCCTGAATCCTTGGACATCCTACCCAACGAGGTATCCTCTTTCGGGTACCCTGGTGTTGAAATGTCATCAAGTCTTTTATTTTTTCCTTCATGTTATAACTCTTTTCATTAAAGTTTGTTAGCGCCTTTATTACACTCGTCGTTGACATTCCTACCACACATCTCAGCTTCTAGTCTGCGGCTCCATAGATGCATGTATTCTTCCTTTAATTCCTTATTGTTTTGTTATTATTTTTCTTACTTTGCTTAAAAAAGGTAGGCTACTTTTAAAAGGAGTCCTCCGAATGCTCTCTTCTGCTGTCGATGCTTCTTATGTCTTTTTAGTCGACATTATCATATGACAACATTTCAAAACGGCCAAGCAATTTGCTGGTCGAAGCCGGATGACATCGCCATCTCCCTCATTCTGAACTAATTGCCGCAAAGTCTTCTCGTCCCATGTGGTGTGGATTTCGATATATCTTTTTCCGTACATCCGCATACCAGCATTTTCGTATTGCCCTTCCTTGCACACTATCTTACGAGTGAAGAGACAAAAATACATAAACTGGGACTTAAACTGTTCTCACAATAGTTGTTCCACCTTTGTGTAGACTTTTAGACTTTTGCGTACTTTGTTGACTTTGATTCTGTCCGCAGTGCGGAAAGACGCTAATTGCTGAGGATTTCGAATTGGGCTTTCAAAATGAACTCTCTCTCTCTCTCACTCTCTCTGAACATAATACGATGTTCCATCTATGGGCGTCAAAACTCTCCTTTTATTCGTCATCGTTCCTGAAGGTGGTTGTGGCTAGGGTCGCCCTATGAATTAAACTGTCACATCAATGCTACTTGATCACTTGTGTTAGGGATGATGATGATGATGATGCTGATGATGATGATGATGATGATGATGATGATGATGATGATGATGATGATGATGATGATGATGATGATGATGATGATGATGATGATGATGATGATGATGATGATGATGATGATGATGATGATGATGATGATGATGATGATGATGATGATGATGATGATGATGCAGGAGACGCCTAACTGACTAGCCAATAGGCCTATCGAAAAATGGGCTTAGCTAACCTTTGTTCGGTTATCCTGTGGCCGACAAGTTTGTCAACTGTTCTGAGCTCCCTTCATTTTCTTCGTTAATAGGTATGGAGAGACCCGACAACACATACGACCTCCAAAATCTGCAATAACCCAATAATGTCGAAAATGTCGAAACATCGATGGAAATCACCACATACTGTTAGGTGGAAGAGCTAAATTACTCGAGACTACAATAAGAAAAAATGAATATGAAGACCGTGAGTCACTTTATAAACCGCCGCAGGATCGCTTTCGATGGAAAACCACCTCACTGAACCAGAACGATTTAATCTCAAGTGGTCGGTGGTAAATATTGCCGGTTTCGATTTCCGTTTTCGACCGTTCGACAATATCAGCTAATTTGTTCAAGAAAAAAACTTTGACACGAGCATGTTTACTAGGTTCGTTTAGCAAAAACACATGTTCCCAAATCATGCTGTATCTCGGACTGAAAATTTAGAAATCTCAAGAGTATTCAAACATGTTACTACACATACTATACGGTCCAGCTTCTGCAGTTTTATCGTAGGGCTGTGGTTGCATGTATTGGCATCAACTCCTCCCGCATAGTTCTCTCGGTTCGTGATTTTTCAGAATGATATAGGGCTTCGGCGTCGTTCAACGCCGTCATCGGTTTCAACAGATGTTACTGGACAACATGTCTTCCTATAGTAGCGTCTCATCTGATTTCCTTATTGACCGCGGTCAAGAAAACATCTATGTTATCGCTGACCGTAAGATGAGTAACACCAGTCAGAATTCACAGGTGGAGTTATCGGTCGAGCTTAGTACACTTGAATCTCACACCAAACTGCCACAATGATGGTAGGCGACAAGTGACAGGTCGATCACGTGCTGCCTCACAGGAAACTCTCCACCATCGACTGCACATCACCACGTCTTTTTCAGCCTAACTTCATCCCGGAGGTGGGCGTGCGTGTGTCGGATATCCGGCTAGATCGCATTTAGTAGCCAGGCCCCGTATTACAGGCGGCTTTAGGGTTTGTCTACCGGGGCTATTTTGTGGGACTCCATAATCACATCTGTCTCATTTGGCTTTTGTTTTACGCTTGAGGTTAGGATTAGGGTACCGGTCAATGGTTTCCGATTTTCCGGTTAGGATTATGCCTTTAGGCTTTGGTTTTCGGGTTACGGTTTAGGTTTGAGCGTTCGAATAGGTTTCAGTATTACGGTCAGGTTTCTCAGCTGCGGCTATGTCTAAGAGTTACGGTTACGTTTACGATTTTGGTTAGGGTTAGGGTTGCCGCTAGGGTTAACGGTTAACGTTTAAGGTTGGGGTAAGGGCTAAGGTTAGGAGTAGGGTTAAGGTCGCCGTCCGTTTCCCCATTCTGTACCCACTGCGTTCCCCCTTCTCCCTTTGTCTCGCACAGGCCTCAACTCCTGACCTCGTTAGGCACTCACAGTTGCCACCACGCCATGCATTCTAACACGTAATCCACGAACGTAGGTGTACTGGCAATATGTTAAAATCCTGAAGGCAACATTATTTGACCTAGGTATCATCTGTTATTTTATGCTAACTGAAAATTCTAACACGCCGATTGTGGTCCCACCTGACCGCCTACATGGGTTGTGGATCTTTGTTGTTTTCTGGGCGTGTATTTTGCCGCACATATCTCACAGCCCTCCTCTTACTACTGTCCTGCAACTAGTCCAAATGTTCACCAATAGGCTCCCTTGGTTTCTTGAAATCACCAGTCAAATGTCTTGCTAGGCTTCGTGACCATACCTATCCAATGACAACAGGCTTCTGGAGGACAAATTCAAGCTGAACTAGACCCGTACTTAATAGAGTGGTTGTGAATTTCGGCTTAGTCGTCAACAATGGCATCTAAAATGTGTTTCAAAGTTGCCCTGGGTGTCGTCTGCCTTTTCCATTTGGTAGGTTCATATCATGCTACTCTGTTCTACAGTTAGAAAGGTTTTTGCACCTATATGCTTTTTTCGTTTTTTTTTTATTTAGTCCAGACTGATATGCATGTACTTCCATAGTGAATCATAAAATGATTGCTGCAGTTGTCGTGAGAGATCGCGAGGTATGTTTTGAGACAGAGCCTCGGATGTTCGGTGATTTTAGCACATGTGCGACGAGTCAGTAATGCTGGCATTCGGTTTTGGAAGTTAGTGACAAAAAGTCTCGTCATGGATGGCCACTCTCACCACGTCAACCGACAAAGTAGCCAGACCACTTAAAACTTGTGTATCGAAGCTAAACCTCATACTGTCCGGTGTTCACCTGAAGTGAGACCTTCCTTCATTTGAGAATGCGAAAATTGGATAATAATTAAAGTCCGCACCTTTTGCTCTGATATCTCTTGGCAAGTAGAGAGAGAGAGAACGGGGAAATTGAAATGGCCATGTCTGAATTATTTGCCGCCATTAAACAGCCTTATCACAGGCCAACAAGGCTCTGGATATGAGCTCTATCTGTTAGTGCTGGAGCGTTCCAGTTAGGTGTTCTTCCACGAGACCACATCCTGACGGCTCTTATTGGTAGTACTGAACGTTGTGAGGGGCAAAACAGAAAAGAATACTTTGATTTGGGTTGGGGGTTCGGGTTTAGAACCCTACTCGGTCAGTATGCAGGGATCGGAAGTCAATGGTGGAGAAGGGTTGCCGACGAAACTGTTTTAACGACAATTTAATTTTCCCGTCATTAGATGGTGGGTGGTGGTAATCCGGAAAAATTCTAAGGTAGGACACGACCGCAATACAGATGATCGTGCCCTAAATTCCTAGGGAATGGGGTGGGGTCTGTGTTATGATTAGGATAGGGGTTAAGTTTGAGAATCTAGCGGGAGTGGGTTCATATTTTCGCTGCTTTCCCATTTCAGGACAGACACCGAGGACCTAATTAGACAAAATTTTCCGTTCTACATATCATTTTGTAAGCAATTTCTTGAAAAGCGCCCCAGAGCGGTCTCATATGTGTTCATCATAAAGGGTAGTCTACCAAAGTAAACCCCTGTTTTTCCGTAGTCTCCAAAGGTCCAATATTTCAGTGGTAATTGTATTCACCGAAATCCCACTATTTGAAAATACTAATGCCGATTATTTTTCTTTAGGGCATTGGGATCGCGGGCATTGCGATCGGAAGCATTGCGAGCCAACCTGCCCAGTCACTTGGCCTGTCCAGTGACTCATTTAATTTTAAGCGCATGTTTATTGGCCTTGGCGTGTTGCTTGTCATATTAGCCATCCTTTCCGGTGCTAGCATCTTTTGTCGCAGTGAATTTCCATTTACGACAGTACGTCACATCCGCATTCTGTGAAATTTTAACAATCACACAGTTCTTTGTCCTGTCGATCCTGACCGCCCTTGTACACATTGGACTGGGCATCTTCATTCTGGTCGTTGGAGGTCGCGTAAGAATGACTAGTTTTTTGATTTAAAACTACACACTCTCTCTCCCGCACAGGCTAGTACAGTTTTAAGTTCCCCTATCACGGATCAACTTGTTCTCGACCCTGGTGTCATGGACACTTTGCAGAGTTCGGTAAGCTAATTTAGTAAAAAAACAAACAATCCCTGACCAACAGTTGGAATGCTGCGGAATGTATTCTAGTGCTTATTATTCCGCGTGGAATTTGCCACAATCGTGTTGTCCAGAAAACACCACCGTCTGCGACAAATCAACTGCCCACCCAGAAGTAAGTTGCGGTTCTTCAAGCGTGCCCATTTTTGCACGCTCTTTTTATCCTTTACGAGGCCTTTCCCTTAGAAGACGCAGGAACGATAAAATAAGCTTTCGATTATAGGCATATATATATATATATTATCGTGTTTATCATCCCCCGAAGAGCGGATGGTCGGATCTTATTTCGTAGGCGTACCTGCAGTAGACAAGCCCCAGCATTGCCCCTAACTCAAACCTTTAACCCCAAATTCAAACCCTAAACTTAACCCCTAACCCCTAAGAGATACGGCTACGAAATAGGATCTTGATGAGGCCGATTTCATGGACCAGGTTGTATTCATACTGCCGTTTCGGAAACTCTCGTTTACATCATCAGTCACTCGCTGTCCTTTCCTTTTGCCTTTGATTTTTTCAGGCTTGCCGCCTGCCTCGTATTATAACCGTGGTCAGTACACGTGCGTTGACTAGCCTATTTGCTGTTGGCTGGTTCTGGCCTGTCTGATTTCGACCATTGGCGGACTTGCGTGGCTTGTGCCCCCTTCGCGTCTGCCGTGGTTGCCGCTAAGTCAGCGTGCTATTCGGCCTCCCCCTCGTCAGACGGTGGACTGGTCAACCGTTGCTGCTCGGGCGTGGTGTTTTCGGCCTTGGGGGCCTGTCCGTGTGATAGTGTTCCACGCCGGTCACGTGGGTTACGGTTGGCGCCATCCCTTTTCTCCGCGAGCGTCGACGGTCGGCCCCGTGTGATTTCTTTCACCCCACCTATTCATCCTGTCTGGACTGACTCGAGCCTTGTGCGGAGTGCCTGTTAGGTGGGATGTAGGTCTATGACTCGGTTGAGCGTGCCAGTCGAGGACCAACTTTCCAGCACCAGTCTGGCCTATTGAGCTGCTTATGTATTATATGTTGCATGTGTCTTATGACACAAAGTTCACTGTGGTCAGTAGTAAGCTGGCGGACGGACAGCATTGAATCAAGTGAGAATCTAACCACAGCAATGAGGGTCAAACGCTTACTTGACATATCTATATACCTCACTTCCTATGGCCTACGACGCACTGATGATCGGTATCGACCGTGAAAAAACTGTTTGTGTCTGGCCTGTTGCGCTCCTAGTGAATTCGTGTTCGCATGGACCGTAATTCCCGTCCTAGGCTGGCAATCTTCTTTACGACCCGGTGACGGCCTGACGGATAAGTGGCAGTGACGCTCGCAGCATCGTCGGGTCCGTTTATGTTACTGCGACCGTCCGTTTACTCACCTGTCGGACACAAATTTGCCTGGGACAGGACCCGCATTGTAGGTGTCTGCTCATCTAAAAAGGGCCGTGAATTTTTAGAGGCCATTCATTCTGATAACGCATGCATCAAACGACACGTATAATTGGATACGGTGTACAATAGCCTCAAGGAAAAGTGGAAAAGGCATTAGACAATCAGAACAATACACCAGCAGGAATGACAAGGCAAAATCGATTTTTTCGGCATGTTTAAATGTTGACTGTTTTGCACACTTACTTCACGTCTGAAGACGACTTGGGGAACCAAGATCGAAAATTTACAATAAAACTTGTTAATCTTTCCCAAACAGCTTATTTCTTTCGAATTACGATTCTTGGGATGCCTGTTTTCAAATATATATATATATATATATGTACTGGAAGATGGGCATCCCAAGAAACATAATTCGAAGAAGAATGAGTCCTTTGGGAAAATGAACAAACTTTATTTCGTAAATTTTCGAGTCTGGTTCCTCAGCTCGTCTTCAGACGTATAGTAAGTGTGAAGAAACAGTCAAAATTTAAACAATACCGAAAAAAATCCATAATGGTCTGTCAGGACTGAGGATGGGTTGATGCTGTGGGCTGATGTCACGTCTTGATTGGCTATTACCTTTTCCATTTTTCTTTGAGACTTGTGTACATGGTACCAAGGTCGATGCGTCGATTGATGCATGAATCATCAGAGTGAATGGCCTCTAGGAATTCTCGGCCTTTCTTATATGGGCAGGAACCGACAATGCGTGTTTTATCCCAAGCGAATTGATGATTCATGCATCAATCGACGCATCGACCTTGATACCATGTACACAAGTCTCAAAGAAAAATGGAAAAGGTAATAGCCAATCAAGACGTGACATCAGCCCACAGCATTAACCCATCCTCAGTCATGACAGAGCAATATCGATTTTTTTCGGCATTGTTTAAATTTTGACTGTTTCTTCACACTTACTACACGTCTGAAGACGAGCCGGGGAACCAGACTCGAAAATTTACGAAATACAGTTTGTTCATTTTCCCAAAGGACTCATTCTTCTTCGAAATATATATATATATAGCACCGTGCTCAGCTCGTTGACGGAGGGGAGAGTGCGACAGATGCTGCGCAAGTCACCGATGCTGCGTCCACCACACTGTACGGTGCACAAAGGCATCGTCTTTGGCGACGGCCGAAATGTCGTATAGTAAAAAGTGACCGTTTGATCGGTTCCTATCTTTCCTGAAGTGCTGGCATTAAAAACCTCGTGTTATAAGACTTCATTGCGTTACTGAAATGAATGTTGAATGCTGTGGACTTTCGAAGCTCCATCGGAGTTCTGTAAGTCAGAAGTCATAGGGTGCTAGAAGTTTGGTTTCATCTTTCAGGAGAAGACTTTCAATTAAATTCATGTTCGAGAATGTGTGTTTTGAGTGCAAAATCTAGTAAAAAGGCTAGAATTGAATGTCATATGTATACACCATTTCTATTTTTTCTGATTTTAGGGCTGTGCCGGCAAAATACTGGATATAATGAATCCGTTCTATAAAGGAGTAGGCGGATTCCTCATAGTACTATGCATAGTACAGATGCTTGTTGCTATTGTGCTTTGTGCATTTTCGCCGACAAGCGGGGAAGAGACGGACATTAAGGGGATTTCCACTTCACACGACTGAAAACGATAATAACAACTTGTTTCCGTTGCAGCGATGCATAATAAAGGTGAATTCTAACAGTGTGTATGTTCTGAGAAAAATGAAATGCCTTCCAGATCAAGGTGATTGTATTGTTGACGTTTTGGAGAGCTTTGCCGACCCAACATTATCAAAGCCTTTAGCGAAAAAATCTACCAGAATTTTGAAAAGGCGGCCGAATTAGTTGGCTTTGGGCCAATAGATTTTTTTCTTCTTTCGCTGTTCTGGTCCTCTGACCGTCGTTTGTGAATGCTGGTGGCCTCTTTTGTTGTTTGTCGTCACGTCAATTGGAGTTTCTTGCGTTTTTGCGCCCTGTTTTGGGTGAATTAGTCAACGGGCTGTGTTTGCTCGGCATTTTGAAGATGCATGTGACCTTCTTGACCTGGTCATGACGTATGTAATCACCTAGGACTTTATAGGCCGCAGTGAATAATTATATAGAGCAGAGCAACATTTCAAAACGGACCTTATCGTAAGTCACGCACTACAAGATGTTGCAGATGTATAGGGAAGAGAGATTGAAAATCTAGCGTTCCTTATTGATTACAGGCTTCCTGTGCTCACTTGAGAAATAATGAGTAAGTTTCTTCAGCATACAGTACGTGAACCGACTCCTGAAGTAGGCATGTAGTTGCAAAAATTTCCAATGACACCGAAGCCAGTCCACACATATAGAGCAAAACAGCCAATTAAATGTAGACTAACTTAAGTCGATGGAAACACTGAAGATGTGTTTAAAGTCAGAGTAGATTTGATTAGAAATACAGAGTAGAAGAAAAGCTGAAATGACGAAAACGTAAAAATACAGGCCTTTGGCTTTTTCTGCCGCGACAAGATCTGTAAATGTCTATATGAATTATGTAACGCCGAGTAGGTACTTGGCAACGGTAAGATGTAGGACCCCGACTAACTTGAGGTTAACTGGTGATAGAGGGGCTTTTACGGGAGGGGCAACATGCAGAGAGAAGAGCAGGCGGAATACAAGGAAACACAGAAAATAGATAAATTTCTATCGAACGTTTTATTGTATGCTGTCATATGGCAAAGAAGGTGAGTTAGATAATTTAAAAAATTGAAAAACAGCAATTTTCGAGTAATGACAGATTTTAAATAAACCGCCACTGGCAAGTTAACATCCGGTCAGGAAACCAAAGATACCTCAACCGAGAAAAACGTGAATAATAAGTGCGGTTTGCGGTCATACATCACATGTTGGAGGTGTCAGCTAATTGGAGCCTCCCACCTACTGTTACCCAGGTCCTTTCGTTGGAGAATTCCTGGTCTATTAAAAGGAGGCTGTTTAAATTTACTTTGCGTTCGATCTGCTAAGTCATGTGTGCCTACGCACTTGCTCACTTACACAGCACTGCAGGAACAAAGGGATGTTCTGTGGGCACTTATATCATTACATAAAATATAATGATTGAATTGCTGCATACACCATAGTCCATGGAAAATGGGGATGTCTGTTACACGGAGGCCTTCCCTAATTATTCCACAAAACTCATAATTAGAAGAACGAACAATCTCGATTGCAAAAAGGGGAAGCTTACGCTGAGGTGATTATTCAGTTTCATGGGTGTGACAACTATAAGGAGGAGAACAACATCCCAAACTGACCTTATCGTAAATTAAGCACTGCAGGATGTTGCAGGAGTTTAGAGAAGAGCGATTAAGAATATTGCGCTCCTTACTGATTACAGACAGTTTGGTTGAGAAATACTGAGTAAGGTTCTTCAGCACACAGTGCATGATGATGATGATGATGATGATGATGATGATGATGATGATGAGGAGGAGGAGGAGGAGGATGAGGATGAGGATGAGGATGATGATGGTGGTGGTGGTGGTGGTGGTGATGATGAGGATGATGATGATGATGATGATGATGATGATGAGGAGGAGGAGGAGGAGGAGGAGGAGGATGAGGAGGAGGAGGAGGAGGATGAGGATGATGATGGTGATGATGATGATGCTGCTGCTGCTGATGATGATGATGATGATGATGTCGCCCAACTGACTTGCCGATGGGCTTATTTGACAATAAAGTTAGCCAGTACTTGTTTGATTATCATGTGACCGAGAAATTTACTAAATGTTCTGAAGTCCCCTTTTCCTCACCAGGGCATGGGAATCTCCAATAATTGGGATACTCCCAATAGCATGTGCCGAAAATCTTTAAAAATCGACGAAGATGGAAGAGTTTAATGGCCAACAATAGCATCTCATCTGGTCTCCGTGCTGACCGCGGCCAAGAACAATGTTGTCTCTCGGACAGAAAATTTAGAAATCTCAAGAGTATTCAAACATGTTACTACGGATAATATACCGTCTAGCTTCTGCAGTTTTATCGTAGAACTGTGGTAGTATGTATTGGCATCAACTCCTCCCGCATAGTTCTCTCGTCTCGTGCTTTTTAAGAATGATATAAGGCTTCGGCGTCTTTCAGCGCCGTCGTCGGTTTCAACAGATGTTAATCGACCACATCTCCTCCTACAATAGCGTCACATCTAATTTCCTTACTGACCGCGGCCAAGAACACATCCATGTTATCGCTGACCGTAAGATGAGGAACACCAGTCAGAATTCACAGGTGGGGTTATCGGTCGAGCCTAGTGCATTTGAATCTCACACCAAACTGCCACAATGATGGTAGGCGACAAGTGACAGGTCGATCACGTGGCTGGTAGACAGAACTGTGCCGTCTCGCAAGAAATTTTCCACCATCGACTGTACATCACAGCGTCTTCTCCAGCCTAATTTCATCCCGGGGGTCCGTGGGTGGGGTGTCGGATATCCTGCCTGACAGTCCTTAACACGCCGACCCAGCAGCCATGTCATCTTTCGACGGCAGCGTCTCGTCTTCACCTACTACCCCTCTCCCATTGTCTCGCACATGCCTCAACTCCTGACCTCGTTAGTCACCCAGTGCCCACCCCCCATGCAGTCTGACAAACGTAGGGGCACTGGCAATATGCTGAAATCTTGAAGGCGAGGTCAGTTGCCATAGATATCGTCTGTTACTTTATGCTAGTTGACCATTCTTACAGCAGTCCCACTTGAAGACCGATATCACCTGTGTCTAAATGAATGTTGAAATCCTGATATTTGTAAATCCTCCCTTGACTGGAAAGCAAATACATTGATAAGATGGCACATCTATTATGGATATTTACTCTAGAAGTTCTTAGAACCGGTTACGATGGAAAAAGTGTTTGACTCATTGTTGTAAAAGTATTTACAGACGAATATTTAGCTGGCTTTTTCCATTAAGACTTGCCGAAATCTGTTGAATATCGGTCCGCGGGCACTGGCAGTGTGCATTATCTGAAACGTGCTTTCTGACCAGCATACAACGCTTATTTTATTATGGGGTTATTTTGGCCGTGTTCAATTGACATTACCCAAATGTTATTTCAATCAAAATTCCTCTGATTATTATAACTCAACGAGTGTCCTGCACGCCGTAGAACACAGATTTCTGAACATGCGATGCTGCCCTTGCGACTCCAGCCGGGCGATCGTTCAGAGGACAAATTGTGTGCGCCATCTGAATTAGAGGGAAGGGTGCGTGGATTGGTTCGTACGACTGACGGGCGTGTAAAGGAGCGTTCAGTCAACACCTCGACATGCATTCGAGAGGTCGGCAGCTCCATCCATCTGCTAATTCGTTTTAGGCCTGTGATAGTTTCTCATCCATCAAATACAATTAATCTAGTTATTGTAAATCCCAGACGCACTTCCCCATTAAGCAGTGCCCGTGAGACCTTTCCAGTTCTGTTGTTGGTTTCGTCAGGCATAAATGCTAACTTTTAGATCAGGCAGTCGGTGAGCGAGCCATGGTGATAACATTTTAAAGTTAGCTTGTGCGCTCGTCTGTAAGGTGACCCAATGAGTAATCGAATTCGCACGCCAGTCCTGTTTGAAGACAGCGAGGGCGTATGGGCGAGACACGAAACAACTAACGGCGAAACTTGGCGCCTTGTATAGACAAGTGTGGCAAACAAATGAAAGTCGGGTTTTGCTGGATTATTTAGCTCTAAAATGGACTAGAAGCACAATAGAGTAGTCAAATACAAACATGCAGGTAGAATCATATTTAGTAGCCGTACCTGTAGTAGATAAGTCCAGGATGAAGTATGCCCGACACGGTTAAAGCTGAGCAAGACCATTTTCAACTGGTATAATTTGGGCACGCCAACTTCAGTTAAAATTCTTTATTTCTAGGTTAACCCAACTGTTAGGACTGTGGTGGTCGGATTATCCGTTATGCCGCATAGGGAAGCATTCATCAAGTTATCCTAATTGTCCATGGGATATGAGCTTTTGTCTTGATTTTGAGTTCTGGTCTACAGTTCACACGGGTGGTAACACGCAGACAATCATACAGCCACACGCACCCACTTAGCCCCTACAGAGCATCATTAAATTCACATATGATCCCCCTACCTGTAATAATAAGGTGCGAGTTGATATGTACCGGTTTTTTTTAAAATCTCATAGACAGCTATTTACATGCGTCATGCAATTTTTAAACAATCTCCCTTTCAACTTTCTTCATATGTCGCTGTTTCTTGGTACTTCTGTAATCAGTGGGGAGCTCAGAGGGGTTCATCTATATTTTCCTTAGTATACTTCTGTAGCGTGTGAAAAAAAAACAGGGGGTTCAACGGTGCCAATCTAGATTTACCTCAGACCTACTGAAGCGACAAAGGTTATTGTAGACTACGATGGGTATTGATCAGCAGCAAGCATTTCAAAAAACGTCCAGCGTGAATCCCATTCAAAATTGGTACAGCCTAAAGTCGTTTTCGGCGCATTCTTGGCTATTGCTCAGCAAGTTATTTACTACTTTACACTCTGTAAAGTCTCGTAACCTAGTTGGGAGTTGGAGATCAGAGGACCAAGGACAGATGCATCTGACAGTGTGAGCTCTAAATTTTCGCTGAATTATATCCCGAGAGGCGTCACGGTTTTATGAGGCAGATGGGTACATGCAGGAGATATTCATGAGTCCTTGAAGGCGAGTCCGCTAATCCCGCTACACAACAGGCTCACCCTGTTACGCCTTGGGGGTCAATTTGGACTCCTCGTATGTAGCCGCATAGCGACTACTTCTAATGCTGGAAGAAATATTGACAAGAAGAACGGAGACTGGGATGGCCACTTGTGGCTTACTGGCCACCGCCCTGTGCCTGTATGCAAGGACTCCAATTAGAATAATTTCGTCTTGGGCACCACTTAACAATTATAATCTCTGGCATTGGCTCTGGAACCGGATGTAAAGAATTGTTTTCGACACCTCTAGAAACTATACTTCATGTCGATGTTTGTTAAAGAGTGGGCTAAGTAAAATTTAATAATTAGTACGGTTTAACTAACAAGGAATCGAACTTGCGCACGAACTACCGCCTGGCAAAAAGTTTGAATTCCTTGGATATGGGAAGTCATCAAGAGCCTTTTCGGCTAGATCGCAGTTGGCAGCCAGGTTCCGTATTACAGGTGGCTGGGGGGTAGTTTACGGGGGCTTTTTTGCGGGGCTACATAATCACATCTGACCCATTTGGCTTCCGTTTTATGTTTGAGGTAAGGATTAGGGTACCTGTTGATGGTGGCCGATTTTCGGGTTAGGGTTACGTCTTTTAGGCTTAGGTTTTCGGGTTACAGTTAGGGTTTGAGCGTAAAATTAGGTTTCAATATTACGGTTAGGTTTTACAGTTAGGTCTATGTCTAAGGACTACGGTTACGTTTACGGTTTCGGTCAGGGTTAGGGTTACCGTTAGGGTTAACGGTTAATTGTAGCGGTTGAGGTTAGGATTATGGTTAAGGTTGGGATTAGGGTTAAGATCGCCGTCCGCTTCCCATTCCGTACTACCAACTGCGATCTAGCCGCCTTTTCGACCTACATACAACTGACTGCTTTCTGCATTTACTTCATACTATTTGTTAATTTTGAGGTAATTTTGAACGAATAGGAGCGCTGTTCGCTCGTTTAATTTTAGCTACTCGTTATATTTCGTCTATACCATCCGAATTATTCGTCTGAACCCCGAAAGTGAGGATATATCTACGCTCTTGTCCTAAAGTTTACGAACTCTTAGCAATTTAACAACAATAACACGAGCAGCACCATCGCTCCGTGAGAAGGAAGGCAGGCACACAGGATTTACGCCCACCATCTTTACGCCCGCAGCTAAGAATCGGCAGAACGCGCCAAAAGCGCATTATTCCGCAAAAAGCGGGAGATATGGGGAGGAGCCTTTCGTTAGACGTTCATATACCTTGCTTAAAACGCCTGTGGATATAAAGGCATTCATGCAGCAGAAGACGGATGGCCAGAAGGAGGTTGTCAGCGTTAGAGTCAAACAAACGAAGCGTAAAACGCAGAGTGCAGAATATTATTGTCAGAGGAGAACCTGAAAGCGCGGGTAGCGATCCAGTAGGTACAGACGTGGGCACCAGTGACTATACGACTACAGTAACAAGGATTGTAGTGGTCCCAGTCCAGACGCCCGGTGCATTGCTGCGCTTCTCACTGGTGCCTGCACCCGCGGCAGGCTGGTTTTCGCGCGCTCACGGCTTCCCAACTAGCCAATCATCTTTAAGGCCGAAGTGGACATGCTCTGGCTTAAGGCGCTGTGACGCATACGCCCAGCTCTCACTCGAGATACCGTTCTCCCGGCGCCGAACACGCCTTTGTCCGGCTGCCAGCTCTGTTCTCCGTTTGTTATGTGCAGAATGCACTAACCTCTCACTCAGCGTCTGACTTCTCCACCTTGCATTTAGAACCGAACCTGATGCTCGTAAGAGACCCCAGGCCTCTCTATGGTTTTAGCTGTTGTGACAGGGCTTTGATAAACGCTGACCTGATTTGTACACAGGGAAAATTAATCAGTAGCCGGAAAATAATGGCTATCGTATTTAATAACACTACAAGAGTTATTGTTCTTGACTCAAAAGAAGACAGGCTCCGAAATTTGCTAATGCTTTCTAATCACGCGAAATCGACACTGATATATGGACCCAGAATCTATATTAAGAAGAGCCCCTTTAAATAAACTGGAAACATAAGCGAAATA